ATACAGGAGAGTTGAACGGACGGCTGCGTTATAAACTCTGCCCTTCAGGATGAGAGAAATGTCGCGTCTGCGCCACAGGTAAAGGAGATTGACAAAAGCACATCGAGATTTTGCTATACCGTTCGTAACCTCATCTTCAATCCCACGGGTGCTAATATAGCTGCCCAGGCACTTGAAGCCCTGAACGGCTTTTAGTAGATCACCACCAAGCGTTAGCGCAGGGTTGGGTCCCTGCCAATCTTGGAGAAGTACTTTGCATTTCGATGGAGCAAAGCATAGCCCAAAATGATTGACAGCCAGTGCTAATCGGTCCAGTGCTGCTTGGCATGTTTGGGAGCTGTCACAGATTATGGCAATATCGTCCGCATACTCCAAGTCAAGAAGTCGCTCACCAGGAAGTAGCTCCACACCTTCTAAGTTGTGTCCAGCGAACGCTGTTTCTATGAATTCATCAATAGTGGAGTCACAGAGGAAAGGTGACAGCGGGCATCCTTGTCTCACACCGCTGGTGATACTGAAGGGCGGCGACAGTTTGCCATAAACCCTCACCCTGCCCGAACTATGCGCGTACAGCGCTTTGATAACGTCTACGTATTTAAAAAGCACACCTTTCCTCAGCAGACAGTCCCAAAGGAAACATCGATCGACTGAGTCGAAGGCACCTTTTATGTCAAGAAACACGACAACGGTGGGTCGTCAATAAACATGGCGGTGCTCCAACAATTGACGCAAGGTGAAGATGTGGTCGATGCAGCCCCGACCTCGACGAAATCCGGCTTGCTCTTCATGAATCTGGCTTTCACGAGTGCCAGCCAGTCTGTGGAGAATGATAGAGGCAAGCAATTTAGAGGCAATCGAAATCAGACTGATCCCTCTATGCTTGCCGCATTCCAAACGGAAGTTTCCCTTGAAAATTGGGACAATGACGGAGCGGTTCCAGTCTGTCGGGACTGTCTCCTGCTCCCAAAGTTTCACTAGCAACTCGTGTAAATCATCTACTAGAGCAGGTCCCCCGAATTTGAAGAGGGCTGGGGGAATTCTCTCTGCCCCTGCGGCCTTATGCAATTTCAACAGCCTGATCTCACGTTCGACTTCTGCGCGTGAGGGCGGATCCAAGGAGACGGCCCAGGGAGAAGGGCGCTCAATGCCTAAAGAAGAAAACGATAACTCAGGTTGGTTAAATTGCCTTGCAAAGTGTTCAGCCCAACGCTCCAAGCGTTTTGACAGGCTGTGGATCAGCTGCCCACTCTCTTCGCGTATGGTCTCGCTAACACCAGGTCTCCTGCTACCTGTTTCCCGTATCAGACGGAATAACTTACGATGATTACCAACGGCAGCGGCGGTTTCCATCTCAGAGGCACGATGAGACCACTAGGTTTCGCGGTCCTTCTTCAGGCTAGCACGTAGTTTTACCCTGAGATTTTTGCGAGCCTCATTGTATTCGCTTCTAGCCGAAATGTGCCGGCGAGCATCCATAAGTTCCAGAGACTGTGTAGAGACCCAATGTCCGGTTTGGCAATTTGCTTTGCCACATGAAGACATGCCTGTTAACAGCAACACTTGACAAATATGCGACCAGTGATCCTCAACGGTGTTCAGTGGGCGCTTACTCAGCCCAGATCTCAGCGCACTTTGATACACATTCAGAACATCTGGCTTCGCCAACTGGCTGGTGTCAATCCGTTCACATCGACGTTGCAGACGTCCACCGAAACGCACCAGGAGGTCGGCACAGACAAGTGCGTGGTCAGAGTCCACGCTCGTGCTCCAAATCGAGCGACAGTTTTGGACACAGCCTCTCCAGCGGTAACTGATCGCGATATGATCGATTTGCGTCCATGGCTGGCCCGAGACTGGTGGCCGTCAAGTCACGCTTCTGCGGGTGCTATGTCGAAAGTTCGTACTCGCGAGAAAGAGGCGAGCATCTTCACACAGCTGTAGCAATCGCTCACCGTTATCATTAAGCGAGCCTACACTATGTTGGCCGCCCAGATGAAGCTCATCAGAGGACAACGTTCCGACTTGGGCGTTTAGATCACCAGCCAACACCACAGTATCCGTGCTTCTTCTGTAACGAAGGAGCTCGTGAAGTTGCTGATAGAAATCAACTTTTACCGAATCAGTGCTACAGTTTGTAGGGGTGTAGGCAGCAAAGACAAACAGGCACCGTTTGTCCCCGCGCGACTTCGTAGCACGGAACGAACCAGCTAATCTAACGGCGCACATCCTACTGTTTACTGGGATCCAATCAATCAGGGCAGCTTCAGCCCGGGGATTCAAAACAATGCCGACGCCAGCTTGACCGGCATTTGAAGCTGCATCATCGCCAGATAGGCGCAATGAGAATGTGCCGCCAGTGTCGCATGTGGGGGATCTCAGGGTAAGGATGGAGCTCGAACCTTGCAGGCGGGTTTCTGAGAAACAGCAAATATCGATCGAGAGAGTCTCTAGTGTGCAGGCAAGTGCTGCCTGTTGGCCTATCTGCAGCAAAGTGCGCACGTTGAGGCATGCCAGTCTTAGCGAGACACGAGGACTCCAAAGGGAAACGGATGAACTGACGTCGTCCGCTTGGTCGAACATGGACTTGTCGACTGGATTGGAGCGAGGCCCTGCGATTGTGTGTGATTTGAAATTAGACGACAAGCGACTGTTGATGTAAGCTGGGGGAGGGCCAAGAATTGGGGGATTGAAAATGGGGGGATATAAGTAAAGTTGGAGCGGCACGATAGGGATAAAAAAGAGCAAGAAGGGGTATAAGAAGACGGGAAGGCCTGAGCAGTAGCATCCACACCCTATCCACCCTGCTCGATGCAGCAGATAGGGCGCCGTTTATTATCCTCTGCGACGGCCAGAGCACCAAGAAATTGTTTGATGAAGGGTTCATTGTATTGCGTGGGCAGAATACTGTCAGGTTGCCCAGGCCTAGACAGGAGAACGATTAGGGTTCTGAACCAAAGCCTTTGGTTCAAAAACCTTACCGCAAGGCAGCGGGTTTTGGCACTGGACTACAGAGCCCGTTTTATGAAATGAGGAGCCACCCCCATTCCAACCCCCAACCTGGATGACCAGGAGGCTGAGTTTGTCTGGCCTCTAACCATTGACCAATCTGGTATGAGTGGCTCTGGAGGTGCAAAAAAAGCACCACCCAGCATAGCTCAATGGATCCCTGAGGCACACAAACCATCGCATCACGGTAAGGTCCAGCCTCATTGCGATTTCACCCCGCTGAAAGAATCGTAGCTGCTAAACAAATTGAAGCCAAATCTGGCTCATAGAAACAGATCGTTGAAGCTTTTCTCACTTCATAACAATCTTTGAAAAATAAAGAAGCCGCTGTTATCTGCAGGAAACTGGTTGGGGCACTGTGGATATGCAGTAGTCGGTTGACTAAGCCTAATCCGCAGCACAGTAATGTAACCACATTCTGGTCACCCGTATAGGATCACGGGAGACATGCTGATGAATCTCGTTAGAAACCATTGCCGAGAGAACTAGAATCTTAATGTGCCGAACCGGATATGGGATTATACATAGCTGTAATTCGTGTCAGAACACAAACAACGCACAGACAGCCAACTGCAAAGGATATGCCGGATGTCGAGCAGTGAGTGCGGTAGAAAGTCCCATAGTTAAAATGATCGATAGTAGTATCTACTTGAGTCGAGACCACGTGTACAAACAGCCCATATAAAGCGACCAGTCAAGAAAATGCGAAAATACCCATCAAATTACAAAGATTCAACAAGAACCAGCACTTCTAAGTGGGCCTCTTCCCAGCGATAGTAAAATGGATCACATCGCACGAGCTACAACATAGCTGAGCAGACGACGTTCCACGGTCCCCGTGGTGTGATACGTAATAAGATGCACACCGATGGAGTTATATACGATGCAAACAGTCATCCCGAGATAAAATGAGATATCCGGGGTACACATGTTAATGAAAAAGACGCAAACTTTGGGTCAAGTTGTTTAGGGAGATGTGTGAAAGCGCATGAAATATTACAGTAGTGCGCTAGGCAGTGGTTTCCCTCCAGTCCCAACAATAATCCTCAACTGGTGCAGAGCACCTAAGCAGGGTTCGTGAGCAACATTTGATAGTCTCAGGACACTTTGGAGATTAGAGTAGTAACGAAAAACTATTTGTGAACGCAGGGATTCGCATTTGCGAAAAGCATGTAGTTTAGAAGGGCGAGTGAAAGACGATAGAATTAAATTAGGTATTTGCTGAGCAACATCCGTGACGTTCAATTGACTGTGAGCACTGAGTTCACACAGCTGCCAGGGAACAATGAGCATCACCATTCAAAATCACCGTGGCCAAGGGGAGAGGTCGCACGAAACGGCGTAAGAGTTGCTAATGGAGGTGGTAAAAGTTGCTGCTAGGAAAGCAGACATGAAGGAATTTAGGACCGAACGAGCTATGTTCGTCACAAAAGGATGACTTCCAGTTGTTGGTAGGTTTTTTCACGCAAAACATAAGAATACATAATCTGCTAGAACATCATCCAATGAGTATCGTGTCTCATTACCATGCTATCCGTTGTCAACTTGACTCAACCTTGCGCTGATTCGTTTGTGTTTCACAAGTTCTCTGAGCTCGTAAACATTTGACAACGCACTTGACTTTGGGGCTGATTAGTTGCTTTAAATGTCTATCACATGTATACTGTACGGTTACTTCTTTGGTCCTGCAGACAAACCAATTAGGTTCGAAAACGTTGCACATTGGCATTTGAGGGAAAATATGGCCCGGAGGTGAGTTATCGTTGATGACGCATAAAGGAGGAGTGCAGCCAGAGACGTTTATGCATTCAGGTGGCCAATGAATGAAGGTAAGACACCGAAAATAATGAGGGCGCGAGGCTAATGCGCCTAATAAATGTTGGATGCGTTAAGCAGAAGAATAGAAAACCCAAGTACCTGCAATGTTGGCTACCGGAGAGATACATGAACATATGGCCGAAAATGATATTGGCATTATACAGCTGTTCACTTACCACTGTATCTGTGGTTACCGTCTCCTTTCCACTGATGAAATCGAAATAGTTGATTTTATCAAACATCGGAGGAAGTGCAGCGACTTGAGCGCTCATGGAACGCAACCGCTCAATTAACAAAGTGTTGGCTCTCAGGCGCTTCTGTAGCCGAAGTTCTAGCAGTTCACTAGCTTCTTCACAAACGTCAAGGAACTTCTTCTTCGTCCATCCGCTTCGAGGTTTCACATCGTGAAAAGCGAACGAATTAAGCAACGGAAGACACATGAGTCCTATAAATCAGAGAAAAAATACATCATCATCAGTCAAAGTAACTGAGGCCTTGCTGCCGCATAAACATAATGACCTAAGAAAAAAAAGAACAAGGGGGGGGAGAACGGAGATAGAATAAAACTTCAAGGCCATAAGCAGACAGTCAGCCCAAAGAGTCAGCGCATGAGTGGGTCCCTGCCAATCTTGGGGGACTTCGCACTTCGAAGAGGTAAAGCAAGGTCAAAAATGATTGACAGCCAGTGCTAATCTGTCCACTGCTGCTTGACAGGTTTGGGAATTGTCACAGACCAAAGCAAGGTCATCAGCATATTCCAAGTCAAAAAGTCGCTCACCAGGAAGCAGCGCCATACCTTCTAAGTCGTATTTAGCGAAGGTTGTTTCTGTGACTTCGTCAATAGTGAAGTTAAGGAGGAAAGGTGACAGCTCACAACCTTGTCTCATACGGCTGGAGATATTGAGGAGTGGCGACAGCCTGCCATCTCAAAAGTACATCCTCCGGAGCTGTTCAAGTACAGCGGCGTAGTATTCATCAACTAGCTGACTTCGTAAAAATCTAGCATGAAGAAGTGCCTTCTTCCTGTATCGAAGTAGTTGTCCCGAAGTTAAAAAGGGGGCGTCAATCATCAGGGGGATTAGCCTCATTAAGGTTGCTTTCAAGCTACTGGCATTAATACTACTTAGTAGACTACCCCCGATTCAAGAGTCGCAGTACCTGGAAGAACAAGCTGGCTTCGTCCTAGCCATGGGTGTGTCAGCACAGACTACAATCTCTGTGACGGCGACGTATTTTCCTTAACTTATGCTTCCTGCACAAGATAATACATATATCAAACCTTAATCTGAGAGATGGAACAGAAAGTAACCTCAGAAACAGGAGTAGTACTATTATGTAGTGATATGGAGATTTCCCCGCTTGATGTGAAGCTCAATACTAAATATCATGAAATCATAGTTTTCGCATGTATTAGGGAAGTAAATGGTTTGCATGTTTGTATGGTGCAGGCGCTTGGATGAGGCACATCGACAAAATCAGGACTTTGTCCTCGGGGTTCGCAAAGTACTTCGGTTCTTCGATCGCACTCAGCACCCTATCATAAATTTCCTAGCTAGTCATCTTCCGGTGCCTTATTTTTAGTTTTAAGATGCAGCAACCTTCTTAAAAGCATTGTTCTAGAGTATTTCAGTGTGTTCTGTCGCACACAAGTTAGAGATGGGTGGCTATATTAACAATGTGTGAGCAAGACTAGCAAGCTCTCGGGATGAGCGGCACAGCTTTGATTCCACAGAGTCGCAACCGTTTACCTTTCGGTGAACTGGAGGAAGTCAGAGAAAAGCAGACTGGTCAAATGGGACTAGGTCATGGCAGGCCACGGAGAGTGGACAGTATGATAGAAGGGCAAATAAAGCAGAGCGTGATAAGCAGAGGATAGTGTCGGGTTGAAAAAAGCTATATTTGTGTTGTGTGAAGGGACTAACAACGCTGTCGGCGCGTTGGGATTATTCCGCACAATTATGGCAGGTTTGTATGAAATTATACATATGGTCGGGGCCGTTCGCCCGGGCGTCGTCTTCAGGGATGCAGGGGCCAAGATGTCATCTACTTTGGGGACACTTGGTGTCTTATTTATCGCCGTGGAGAACTGCGTAATACTAGCAGCTACTCTGAGAGCTTCCAGTAGCTTATTCGGTACGTGCGCATATCTAGAGAGAAAAAAGGTAGAACATACGAAGCACCGCGCTTTGGGTAGTGGAAATGAGTGTGCCTGTTTGTACATGGGATAACGTGTACCGCCCAGCGTTTCAAATAATCTGTCAATACTTGTGTCCGATGTTTTGATTAGCTTATATAGCAAAACAAGGTTGATTTTAAGTCGCCGCAGCCAAAGTAGTTCCAGTCCAAGCTGCCTGCAGCTGCTTTGATAGCTGAGCGCAGATGATCCTAGAAAGCGTTTAGTGAATTAACGCCGGACTTTCTCGATACTCATCCTATCCCTTTTGCACGAGTTAATAACAACTAGTGAGTAGAGACTCTAACAAGCTCATTGACTTTAGTATATAGACAATGATAGACCTAACATTTGCAGAGATATAGCTTGCTTGTTCCGCAAAATTCAGCGAGCTGGAGTAGTGCACACCAACGTGCGCACGGTGAAGCTGTTACCTAATGCTGAGCCGTTAGGAGTATAGAGCACCGGTATGAAAGAACATTAGATTTGGTCGGCGAGAACGCTAGTTTCTATAGGTCACACCATGTTTCAAGAGCACAGAAATCGCTTTGAGTGCTGGAGAGGCCATTCCGTAGGCAACTAGGATCAAATGAAAAATACCACTTTTAGATAATCAGCAAAGAAGTACGAAGTGCCCTGTTGGAAGACTCAGAAATGTTCATGGATGTACGGTAAAAGCCGCAGAGAACCCAAGTTGCTACCTTGGAACGCTCCGTTGGTTACCTATGCCTTTCTGGATGAGACATCGCCCAGTATCACTGACTGTGTTCATTTAGAAAGCTAAGTAGCAGACCAAGCAAGCAGGTAGCTAGAGACACCGACTGCAGCTAAATTTGTTATCAAACCATTGTGTGGAACCCGGTAGAAAGCCTATTTCATATCCAGGAAGATGATGACCAGGGCCTGTCACAGGTCTAGGTAGTGTGACATAGTTTAAGAATGTAAACTGGGAGGTTTGACAATATTTAGTTGGCAGACACCCGGTTTGGGACTTCTTGATAAGGTTATGTTGCAGTAGAAAGCGAAGCATCCCGTCCTTCTTTTTTTCCACGAGTTTAAACGCAATGGGTGTGTAGCTAATAGGACGATAATTGCCAAAATTTTGTCGGCAACCTCCTTTGCGTCATGGCACGATGGTTGAGTGCTTCCATTTAGACCCGTAGAGTTCGTTCTTTATTGAGATGGTGTTGTTGATTGAATTGAATTTTGCGGAGAAATTTTTGGGTGGTTAATTCGGAATAGCGAAAAAAGTGAAGATCTAACAATGGCGACGGACAAGCACGAAAAGGTTACAAATGTTTCTACCGAATATTTTCAAAAGCTGCTTCTTCAGCAACAATCCCAGATGGAAGCACAAATGAAACTGATTGAAAGTTTAACGCAGTGCTTAAACGTACAATCAAACGGAGCAGCTACACGGGACACGCAGGCTGTTTCACTTGGTCTTCTTACGAATTCAATCACTGAACTTCATTATGATGCTGATTCCGAATGCACTTTGGAGGCGTGGTTCAAACGCTGGGAGGATATGTTCCAGACGGATTTCAGCCGTCAAGATGATTCATGGAAAGTGCGTCTTTTGTTCCGCAAGCTCGGTACTAATGAACACACAAGATTCCTTGACCACATACTGCCCAAAGAGCCGAAGGACATCACTTCCAACGAAGCAGTGGCAACACAAAGAAATTTTTGGTGAGTCGACATCTTTGTTTAACATTCGCTATCAATGTCTAAAAATTGTTAAGCGTGATACAGACGACTATGGGGCACTAGCAGACATGGTTAACCGTGAATGTGAACGTTTCAAGTTACGCAGTTTGACGGATGACCAGTTTAAGTGTCTTATATTTGTCAGTGCTTTACAGTCTCTACGCGAAGCGGAAATCCGCACTCGGCTCCTTGCTAATTTGGATCAAGACCCAGATTTGACATTGAAGTCTCTTGTAGGCGAATGCAAACGCTTAATTACCTTGAAACTCGACACGGCTATGATTGAGCAGAGTCGCCCCACCATTGCCGATACTGTTCATGCTGTGCAGAAAGCAAGAAAGCCTGGCTCGAATAAGTCGTTCAACAGAAAGCCGAACAAGCCGTCTACACCTTGTTGGTCATTTGGTGAATGGCATTTCGCACGATACTGTCTATTCAAGCGTCACATTTGTGATAAGTGCCATAAACGGGGCCACAAGGAAGACTTTTGCCATCAGCCCCGGCCTAGAAATGTGAAGCAGTCCTACCGAAGGAAGAACTTCAGAAAACCTGACGCAGAATCACTATCGGTGATTGCTACGTTTCACAGCGATTCTAAAACACGCCGCCGATTGATCACTGTGCTTATCAACGGAATCCCAACCCGGCTGCAGTTCGATACGGCATCAGATATAACGATCATTTCCAAGAACACTTGGAAGCACATAAAGAAGCCGAAAATGATTGATTCCAACAAAATCGCTCACAATGCATCCGGTGGAGTGCTGAAGTTGGTCGGAGAAATAAATTGCAAAATTGCATTCAACGGAGTGGAAAAGGCCGGAACCTGCTACTTGTCTGATCGACCAAACTTGAACCTCCTTGGACTTGACTGGATGGAAAAATTACAACTGTTTGATGCTCCAATGAGTCAGATTTGCAATACAGTACAAACCGACCCAGTACATTCATCATTGTCGATAGGAGAAATGACCAGGAAGCTAAAGCAGCAGTTTGCCGCCTTGTTTGAAGATGGTCTCGGCCACTGCACTAACTTCAAAGCAAAGTTGTGTCTTCGTGAAGGAACCAAGCCAGTCTTTAGAGCAAAAAGACCGGTACCCTATGCAGCAATGACAGCAGTTGATCAGGAGCTCGACCGACTGGAACGAGCCGGTGTCATCACACCAGTGAACTACTCTTCATGGGCTGCGCCGATTGTTGCTGTGAAAAAGCCGAACGGTAAAGTGCGAGTCTGCGCCGATTTTTCGACTGGCCTGAATGCCGCATTGGACGACCATCAATACCCCCTTCCGATACCAGAAGATATCTTTGCCAAGCTGAATGGTGGGAAGTGTTTCGCCAAGCTCGACTTGTCCGATGCCTACCTCCAGGTTGAGGTTGATGAAAGCTCAAGAGAATTGCTGACCATCAACACTCATCGTGGCTTGTACCACTACAACCGCCTCCCTTTTGGCGTGAAAACAGCACCAGCCATCTTCCAGCAGCTGATGGACACCATGCTTGCGGGAGTTTCTGGAGCCGCGGCGTACCTGGATGATATCATTTTAATGGGTCGGACGGCAG